GTTTATAGATCACCATGTTCTTGGAAATCCAATTATATGTCTTGTTCACAAACATGCTATGTGGGATCTCCAAGTTCAGTATCATATAAAATATTTTTTGTCCGTTCATTTGGGCTCCAATACTGAAGACATGTATGTACAAACTAAACTTGACTGCTGTGTAATTCAGGCATGCCTATATGTTTAAAAAATAGCTTACAAATGCAGGGGACTGGACCTGATAAGATAGGAAGAAGCTTCCTATGCTATGTTTGTAAGACCAGGCCTTCAGTACATAGAGCCAGTTTTCAAACGTGTCCCTATTTACAATATATCTCATTTTTTATTTTAATGGCAATACACCAGCAAGTCAGTGCATAGTAAAATTTGAAATTGTAGGCAGCAGCCCTACTAACATTAGACGGGCTTATTGAAAAGATTCCTGATTTTCTGAAGGCCCTGCCACGACTTCACCTTTCTAGAACACGATGGTCACTACTACCTCAAATATCTTTAAAACAGCTCTATACCATTACCTAGAACTATTTGTGTTTAACTGCAAATCTGGGGGTAGATTGAAAGATAATGAATGGTCTTTAAAGGGCAGAAATTTTTATACTTACCTGCAGTTTCATATAAATGTTTGAGACTGAATGAATCAAAATTACTATTAATATAGCAGCAATACATAGGTGGCAAGCTGATTATAGAAGAGAATTGAACACCCTGCCAAAAGTTTTCTAGTTAGGAACCAAGAACTTAGTACTTACATAAGTAGATATCAAGACAATGATTTTTACAGTGTTTGCTTTTACTTTTCTAAGCTGATCTCATCCGCAGTCTTTACAAAAGCAGAAATGAAATGGTCTTTACAAATGAAAGCAGTAAAAAGAAGTGCCAAAAAATACACTAGGGTCCTATTTTTAACCCTTCTGCCAACTGACAAGTAAGCTAGAAATCATAAACTGTTGGGGCATCTACCAGCTCATATAACTGTAATTGGTATCCGCTTACTATGAGAATGGGAGGTTTTTTGTTTCTTTGTTATTAAAAGAAGAGGGTAGGCATCCTGTCCAATTTGTCTGGAGTGGTGGACAGGTTATGCGAAAGGCAGCAATACCTAATACCTGGTAAGAAAACCTATTTGTACGAGGTAAAATCCAAATATTTTCAGCCATCACGTAGAGCTGCCTCCCTGCAAGCCGTCTTTGCCATGCTCGTCTCTGCTGTGTGTCAGTTGTCATGGAGAACAGACCAGTGGTGCAAAGTGTCATCCAGGATGAACCTGACCCCCTTTTCAAGGAAGCTGCCATTAAAGACGCGCATCTTTGACGAAACGGCTTAATGCGACTGGAACCCAGAACAGCACGAGACTCGCGGCTCTCAGATCAGCCCCCTAACTGCCCCGCACCGCGCGCCTCGTGCTGCCAATGAATGAAACTGTTCCCACTTTACCAGACGCCTCGCTTCCCTCTTCAAAGAAGTACGTCAATAACACAGCGGATTTATCGTACTGAATAAATACGGAATTCCCCCAGAATCGCAGGGGGTTCCCCACAGACCTGCCCCGCCGCCTGCCGCGCTTCTCACCTGGGCGGTTTGACAAAATATAAATGAAAAGAAAGGGCCCTGCTACACATCCCAATTAACGCTGGATACAAACCAGCTACAGCAGGGGTCGGCACCGTTTCTGCTTGGAGTAACCCTGCTGCCAGCTCTCGTGACTTTTGGCACTGCTGTTAAAGTCTGCGCTGCACGAATGGGGAAAACTTAGCTCTTTGCTAACAGCTGATCTACAAGCGAGGCGGGGCTGCAACACAGCGCTGTTTTGATGTGTCACGTGCAGCAGGGGCCGCAGCGCCCGGGGGACGGGGTCAGTCCCCAGCAGGAAGCGCAGCCGCTCCCTCCCCGCCTTCCTCCTGCGGCGATTCCCGCGTTACCTTGCGCCGCGAGCCACGGGCCCACGTCGCGCTGCAGATCGAACGCGGCGCCCAGCTGCAGCAGCATCGCGCCCGCCCGCGCCCCGCGCTGCTGCTGCTGCTGCTGCTGCCCGCCAGCTGGGCGCGGCCCACGCTTGCAGCCTATTGGGCGCCGCCGGTGTCATTCCGCAGGGAGCCGGCTGGGAACGCCTGCGCCGCCGGGAGGCGGGGCTTGCCGCCGGCGCTCTAGGGCATGATGGCGCCCCCAGCGGGAGGAGTCGGCCCTAATTCTATCTTCCTTCTGGGTCCCAGCCAGCCCCTGGGTTCCTAACTCTCCTGGGCTTATCGTAAGCTTCGTAATATTCAGCATTTCGTAAAGCCTTAAAGGTGGGTGAAAGCTTGAAAATGTGACCAGAGAGTAACTGCTATGCTCAGAAATGAGAAAGCAATGAGAAGAGCCTCAAATGAACAAGGTTTCGCTTGTTTGTTTCTTAGTATTTTAGTCTTGCATTTGGTAGTATTTTATTCTTGCATTTCTAAGCCAGTTTTGAATGTATGGAGATAAGATGCTGCAGACCCACAAAGGGGATAGAGACAGTAAATGCCCCCGTGCCATGCGGAGGGCTTATCACTTCTGTGCAGGAGGGGTACATGGAGGAGACTCCCTGTGTCCTACAGAATTGACTTTGCTGGCAGAGCTCTAACATTTGGCACCTACAAAAATGTATGTAAAAAGGGAGAACAGGGGATTCTTTTAAAACTATTTAGGAATAACTTCTAGTAAGAGTATTTGAAGAACACAGTATTTTTAGGGGTGATATCTTTCATTGGACCACAAGGGATAAAGTTAGATAAGCTTTACAGTGCAGAGCATTCTTCTTCAGGGTTTTCTTTGGCTTTGCACTCAAAAGCTTGTCTAAGTTTATCTGAACAGTACAGTCGGTTCAATAAAAGTTATCACCTCTAAAAGTCCATGCCTCTTGTGCAATCCCTGGGCTATCGCAGCTACATCAGTCTGACACTTCCAGTAAGATTAGTCATTTATAAATATTTTTTTAAAACTCAGAATGGAAGTTAAAAATGACTGCCTAATTGATAGGTACAGCACAGCAAAAAGCGGCTGAAAGCTTCAGAATCAGCTGTAGTAGTTATAATGAGAGAGCATAAAAAAAGAAATCAGGAATGGCAAGTATAGTATTCTCTCATATAAAATACATTCATAAGTTACTGCTAGGCTTTGATAAGATCAAATCTTCTACCATACGGGAAAGAGATTTCAGGTTTTACTCGGCAAGAACTCAAACAATACAGCTGTGTATCAGAACCAAAATGATAAGAGGAAGTGACAAGCACAATTATGTAGAGGCCGCTGGAGAAGAAATGTTAAAACGCTGAAATGAGGGTGGCAGAGAGAGATTCTGTCAGAGTGCAGTGACCCAATCTCGCAGCCTTTTCTCAGGCAAAACTCTCCTTTGGCATTTTTTTCTATATAAAGATTTCAGGATCAGGACAGGGCCTGTAGCAGAAGCCTTGCTTCAAGGGGAAGTAGCTGACACTTATGTTCTCCAAAGGCTGCGTGCTCTGTGCAGATATGTCAACCCCACACAGATCCTACGTGCCAAACAGCTTCCACATGTACCATCCCCCAAAAGCAACTAAGCATACTCCAGCTGGGGCTGACCAGATTTTCCCTGCACTTCTGCCCTACTTAGGGCTGCTGTATTGTCAGCAAGTAGAAGTTAGGCCAGAGGAACTGTCTCTGCAATGTTCCCCCTGCAGAAAGACAGGCTGCGAGGAGGAGTTAGAAGTAGTAACTCAACCTGAATGTAGAGACTTGGGGAGAGGTTAGGGAATGAGGCACGTGGTAATAGAAGGAAAGAGGATGGAAACATCATGGGCAGGACCCAGAGCCAAGGTGAAAGGGGACTAGGAGAAGAATCTTTGTGGGAGTAGGGGGGAGCAAAGGGAGGAGGATAAAAGATGTGGACAAGTAGAAGGGAGTCCATAGGAGAGACAGAAAAAATAGTAGATCTCTAGAAAACATGACTTATGCGGAGAAGCTGAAAGTACTGGACTTAATCTAGTCGGAAGAGGAGAAGATTGATGGGTGATGGATAGCAATCATCAAGTACAAAAAGGGTTGTTTTAAAGACGATGATGGTCAGTTGTTCTTTGTGGATGCAAGTGAAAGGGCAAGAAGTAATTGACTTAATTTGCAACAGTATCTTCCTAAATATTAGGAAGAACTTTCTTACTATGAGAGTGGTTAAGCACTAGGACAGATTACTTAGGTTATGTCAGATGCCTGACTGACTAGCTCTGTTCCCTGGGCACCAATGGGGCACAGTGTAGGAACATTAGCTGAAAGTTCAGTGTTGTGGGAGATGTCACTCTCTTTTTTTTTTTTGCTGCCAACACGTGTTGAATAGCCATTTAAACACCAGTTGGTGGCAAAAAAAGGAAGGTGGCATCATCCATGCCAACAGCAAACCTCTGGTCGCCGCCGCTGTTGCTCTGCCTGTAGCCAGAGCTGCTGCAGGGAAGGTGAAGGGTGCAGAGGAGGGGAACACGTTCCGGTAGGCAATACACGGGGGCTTGTGCCCCACTTGCCAACCCGTGATTATGCCACTGGGTTGTAGAATCTCCATCTTTAGAAGTGCAAATTAGGCAAACATTTGACTGGGATGGTTTAGAAAGGAATGCCCCGCCTTGAGCAGAGGGTTGGATTAGATGACCCCCTCCTTTTTCTGTGATTCTATAATAACAGAAGCTGAAAGTGTCAATCAGAGCGAGGATGTGGAGGACATAGAAGTCAAGGAGAATAGAAGCAGAAGGGATTTGGCAGGAACTGGGAGAAGCAAAGGATTTATAACCCACAGAAAATACTTAAAGAACCTGGCACTGAAACCAGGATTTCTGAGTCTCAGTATCTCTCTGTTATGTAACAAATAGCTATAAAACCTACTGACAAAGTGTGTTGTCTGTCTCTAGTACAGTGTATCTTGAGTAATCCAAACCCTTTTGGAAAGTACTCACTGAATAGCCATTGGGATGACTGAAATTGTTCAGATAAGTGAAACCACAGCATCTTGTGAGGAATTATACATGCCACCACATGATGCACAATGTAAAACCATACCAAACTGAACAGTGCAGACATTAACAGTAAAACTTGAAAGAACCTTTGTTACATAATACCAACAAGTTACTGTTTCAAACTTAAAATGGAGAAACAGTACTGTATTAATGGTTAAAAAGAAAACAGCCTGTTTTGCAATACAACAGTTATTAGTAAAATAAAGTTGCTTTTTGGATTGTTAGGATACCCAAGGTTAAAGTAACTGAGGATATACTGTTGTAGGTAACAGACTGTTACTTCTGCCAGCTAGTTTATTAGTTCAAGTGCTGTGAATCTAGAGGTCCCAACCCTGCTGATAACCCTGGTGGGGGAGAGCAGGGGTCAGTAGGGTTCTAGATGATGATTTTTTTAGTAGGTTTTTTTTAGAAAACATAGCAAATAACATACAAAACATTCAATTAAAAGTACTAACGTTTGGAGTGGGAATGTGAAAGGTTAAACAATTAATTGTTTACCCAATAAGCCCAGTATAATCAGTTAGGTTATTGGTTATTGTTTAGTGGGGGAGGGGTAGAGTCGGGCAGGAAAGGGAGGCTGGAAGGGGAGCTGGGCCATGCCCCAGCAGGGACCAGAAGGTGGCAGGACAGGCAGGAGGGAGGGAGGAACAAGGAGGGACTAGTATGCCCCAGGTCTGAGCTGCTGTGTTATTGGTTAACCATTTAACTGATAAAATTAGGGAAGGGTAAATGGATCATTAAAAAAAATAGATCTTCATCCGTAGTTTGGAGAACATCCTCATTTGCTCCATAACTGGTTTCAAAGCAGAACTTGGTCAACCCTGAGTGCTGAATGAAAGAGCATTTGACCATGTTTAAAGCCTGAACCATAAGACAAGAAGTCTGAATTTAGTTTGCTTAAATCTGGTATTTTCTAACATTTGCTTGGCTTTGTAGCCTTCACATTCCTTTAACATTTCTGTGTAAGTGTATATGTTTTTGCACACATATGTATGTTCATAGGATTTATTGGAGATAAGGTAAATAGATATTTGTCTGTCTATTCAGTACAATATTTTTTTTCTGATCCAATAAGGAATAAAACAGTAAATATAAGTGCAGAAAGTAATAGAGTTGTATGAATGACTCAATGTTTGTGGCAGGCTTTTTCCTAATCATTATAGGTATAGAATATATTATGAAATAAGAGGATTTAAAATTAAACTGAATGCTTACCTACCAGCACAGGCAACCTCAGAAACTGCTTGTGGCCCTATCATTTGAGGAATACCATTTGAGAGCTACCACTTGCAGCTTATGGGAAACACAGTATTTTCTATGACTTTCAGTCAGTGGAAATAATAAAGGCATCTCTCTTCTATCAGGTCCTCCAAGCAGGTGGAGCAGGACCTCTGAGAGAAGCTACCTACAGCCCAATTTTCCATTACAATAGCATAAATATTTAGATTTTTTGAGGTATGGTAAGTCAAAAGTCTGTTCTATTCCAGTCTGAGTTCTCTGTGTTGTCAGGAAAGAGATTTAGACCATTCCTACTCATCAAACCATTGGTGTCTTTAGGAGAAAGGCTGCTGCTGCAGCTATTTGCTAAATAATGACTAACATAGCCTGGATGGGTTGCTGCCCTTGCTTCCTGCTCTGCCATTGTTTTGCCCTGTTTTTATTTTCTCACTTCCCCTTTAAATGTTGAGTGCTGACATCCATTTCCTCTAAGACTGGAGCAAATGCCTTTGTATACATTTGGAGATTACTGCAAAAACCTTACATTCAGTCATGTGTGGTGATTTTATCATCAAAACAGTATTATAGTGTTAGTGGTCATGTGGCAACTAGAAGTGGGATTCCCCATCACAGACTGTAGGTTCTTAAGCAAATGGGACTTCTAATTGTCTCCTTAAAAACAACTCATAGAGCTGTCCAACAAAATTAGCTGAGATTTTAATTTCACAAGAAATATCTGGAACATGCACATCCATAAAGTTGCCCTGTGTTTTTTATAAGAAAACTATACTTAGGACTTCTTATCATAGTGGAAGC